AGCCCAGGCTGGCCTCGAACTCACAGAGATCCGCCTGGCTCTGCCTCCCGAGTGCTGGGATTAAAGGCGTGCGCCACCAACGCCCGGCTGAGAAACCCTGTCTTAAGCAAACAAACAAACAATAAATAAAGCTTCTAGTTTGATGCTGGGCACAGGATTTCCAGCATGTGGCATCTGAGAGCCCTGCTGCCTCACTACTGCGAGCCTTGACCCGCTTCCTGTATCAGGACCTTCCACCTCAGTGCTCCTTAGGCTGTGGAATGAACCAAGGTTCCTGCCTGGACACGCTCCCTCCCCAAGTTAGCCAATCTTCTGGGTTGGTTTTGAGACAGGGTCTCATGTAGCCCAGACTAGTCTAAAACTGACTACGTACCAGAGGATGACTTTCTCCTGATTCTCCCGCTTCTACCTCCCAAGTACAGGGATCACAGCCTGCAGCACCAGGCCGACTCTGGGACTCTTGAGATAACAAACTGAGCCCACTACCAGTTCCCCAAAACCTTTACTCCGAGCCCCCTGGACCTCCAAGCCCAAGATCTGAAGACCCAGTTCTCCCCTGGGGACACCACGGCTCCTTCATCTTATTACAAGGGAGACCAGAGGGAGCTCCTTTGTGCGTGGAATCTCCAGACACGGTCAGAGATAACCAAGGTCCAAGCTACAGGCTTACTGGCCCCCAAGGCCCCGTTGTTATAGTAACCAACAGCAGGAGGGGGTAGGGGCCTGCTTCTCTCACAGGGCTCCACCACACCCAGCTCAGTTACCTTATCTTAGGAAGCTAAGTCAATGTAAACACCAGTACCAACCCTGACTCCAAATCAAAGGTCGTGCCTACAGCTGGGCTGACCCAGGCCGAGGGTGGGGCCGTGGGCAGGAAGGAGGACCGAGTAATGTCCCTGGTCAGTCCCACTGTGTGCCTGGCAGTTACCACCTCGTCTGTCCTTCACTCAGTCCAGGGGGAAAGGCCAAGTCCCCAACTTGTAGATGAGGACAGAGACTCAGCGAGCAGAAGAGCTTCTGGGTCGGGAGAGTACCTGGAACCAGGGTTTGCAGACCCTGCCCAGAGGGCTTCCAAAGCCCCTCAACATCCGCTATCTCTGTGACATCAGAGCTCTCTGTGACTGAGGTATGGTTCTTCCTACAACAGATATGAGGAAGCCCGGGCTCAGAGAGGACAAGGTACCCAACTAAGATCACACAGGAGCTTTTTAGCCACGGGGGACTGGTGAGGTAACTCAGTAGGTAAAGATGGCTGCTGCCCGCTTGACAAACTGAGGTTGATTCCTGGCATCTACATGATGGAAGGAGAGAACTGACATCAGCAGGTTGTCCTCTAACCTCCACACGTCCAGGGACACACATACGCACATGCATATACACAGGGGCACACACGAAATTATCAAATAAAAGTGCTGCTGGGCGGTGGTGGCACACGCCTTTAATCCCAGCACTCGGGAGGCAGAGACAGGTGAATCTCTGAGTTTGGGGCCAGCCTGGTCTACAGAGTGAGCTCCAGGGCAGCCACGGCTACACAGAGAAACCCTGTCTAGAAAAACAAAAACAAACAAACAAAAAAGTGTCATACATTTTTTTGGGCTGGGCATGGTGGCATACACCTTTCCCAGCACTTGGGAGGCCAAGGCAGGTGGATCTCTGAGTTTGAGGCCAGCCTGGTCTAAATAGTGAGTTCCAGGCTAGCCAGTTACATGGTATGATCCTGTTTAAAAAATAAAAACAGTAATTTTTTTTTTTTTTTAAATAAAAAGCCAGCAAGGGGTAAGCATCCAGAGGAGGCAGGGACAGCTGGGAGAAGGGGGTTGCCTCAGTTTGGGAGCTGGGAGTCCCAGGAAACCATCTGGGAGGCACTGGGCGTGGCCAGGATCGAAGAGTCACCAGGCTCCCAGTCCTACCATTCCCGTTCCCAGGCCCAAATGTTCCCAGGCCCGTGCTGCCCCGGTCCTACCCACCAAGGAGATCAGCACAGTACACAGACCTCTCCCAAACTACAAGTACATAAAGCCAGGAAGTGGCCTGGGTGACAGACAACCAGAACTCCTGGATCCTGTACCCGTTCCCGACCCTTTCCGGGCACAGTGTCCTTCCTCATCTTTGAGAAAGGAACGCCGAAACCAGTCTGCCCTGAGCATAGAGACAGGGGCGGAGGAAGAGGGCCAAGCTACACAAAGGGATGAGCAGCCAGGGCCTTCACATCCAGCTGATGCGAGAGCAATGCTCTCTCCTTCGTGATCACGACTTCCCCCGCCGTCCCTGGTCCTCACCTTGGATGGCTGAAGTCCAGCTTCTTCCCCTGAGGCCTGTCCATTCTGGAAAAGAGAAACAGAGTGTCACAATTCACCTTCAGGGAGACAGATGCATCCTGGGACTCTACATCCTTGGCTGTTCCCAATAGCCAGGGAGGCCGCAGAGACCTGTTATTTCTACATGGGTCCTCTCCACCTCTACTTCACTGTGCAAGAATCAAGTCCCCTAGCAACAGCCCCTCCCAACACAGGCAGAATATTCCCAGGACTCAGAATACCCAACCTCCCTCTGCCTACCAAACACCGCATCATTTACAAAGTCTCAGCTCAAATAGCACCCCTTCCTAGGGAGAAGGCACACACAGCCACGTTCTGCCAAGGCAGATCGTGCAACCATTTGCAAACTAACCAACCATGAGAGGCCTCAGTTTCCCAATCTGGACCACTGGGATAGATATCCTAACTTCCACAAATTGCTGTAAGGATGGAAGAGGACAAAGTTGGGGCCGGTGTCCCTCCCGGTGGCTTCCCTGAGCCCTGCCCTACACTTTGAGAACCCTCGCAGGTAAAGTGATGGCTGTGTCCATCACACCTTTGCAATTCCCCACAGTACCATTGGTCACATACGGACTCGCCCTCCCCAATAAATGGGGAGTCTCAGGAGAGCAGATATGAGTGCCCGCCATATGCGAAGGCCGGGCTCGCTACACACCTGCAGCACCGTTTAGTCTTTCTGACAGCCCTGGCTCAAGAGGTAGAGGAGGGCCCCGGGGCTCAGAGGGGACTAATGACGGAGCCCTGGCACAACTGAAAAGTAGCGATTTGAAATGTGGCCCCAAACGTAGGGACTGCTAAGCAAAGGCCTGTGCAGAGCGGCCTGTACCACGGCCAGGGAGCAACCTGCAGGGAGAGGCAAGTGCGAGACCCACCACCTCTGAGCTACGCCGTTTCTTCTGGACTTCAGCCCAGAAGAAAACTACACATCCTGGTCTCTCTGTTCCTACGTGCGATGAGGTCAGAAACCCAACTGAAGAAGCTGTCCCCACCCCTCCTGGCCTGGATCGAGAACGGTGTGACAGACAGGAGGCTCCCTCCCTAAGACGGGGACTTTGGAGCGGAGAGCCAGGTCCACAGGGCAGCTCTGGCCTTGCTTGGCGGCAGCAGGTACAGCTATGTTCTACCTATTACCTGTAATTCCTTTGCTCCTGGAGTGGCTGCTCCCCCACCCCACCCCTCACGCCTGCCAGGTTGTCCTTCCTGCCCTTAATGCCCCTAATACTCCCCAAGAGCCAAGTGTCATATGGACACACACACACACACACACACACACACACACACTGAGGAGAAGGGACAGGATGGTCAGGGCCCAAGGGCAGGGCTAGACAGCGCATTTGCTGAGTCGTGTACCCAGCAGACTAGCTGTCACAGAGGAACTGTCCCACCGAGCATCACAAACAGCCTGCCCACCAGCCCCTGCCCCTGCCCCGCGGAGGCACTCAAATCCTCATCTTCCTCCACATCCATCCATTCAGTCACCGGTCACTGAAAACCGCACATCCTCGGTGACCGAGACGAAGCTAGAATCAAGTCCCAGTTCCTCAGCACGAAACCCATGGCCACTGTCTCCAACTACCCAGCCCAAGGGTTAGGAAGTGAGTTCAAATTCCGGCTTCTACATTTGCATGACCCTGAGGAGGTCATTTTACTTCTCACAGCTCAGTCTCCTCACCTGTAAAATGGGGGGATGAAAACAATATATTTCACGGGCAGCTGCTACAGTCAGTGAATCCCACAAATACACACACCTGGCATGTGAATGGCCCACAAGCAGGAGCCACAGCGGCCATTATTATTATTATTGCCACCCTCGACCGCCTGGTTCCTGTCTTTAACTAATACACATTTATTTGTCTTCTGGTCTGCTAAAGCAGTAAGTCAGACAACATTTACCACAAGAATGTCTGTCCA